ACTCTTGTAAGGCATGGAGGATCCAGAAACGTGTGGCCGCTCCAGGAGCAACAGGGAGGCTGGCGAGGAGGGCGCAGAGGTCTGCTGTGCTGGGCTGTCAGGGGTGATCGGTGATCGTACACGGTGGGGGGAACCAGGGAAGGGTTGCAAGCATTGAAAAAGATCTCTAGTGTCTTCTTTTGGTAGACCTTGACAAATTGGTACAATGTATATGGACATGCAAAGGATCTAGGCCAGCCAAAAAAATTTTGAACCAGAAGTTGTACTACCTGATTTCAGAGCTTTGTACAGAGCTGTAGTATCGAAGACTGCATTTGGCGTTAGAATGGTCCGAGAGAACAAATAAGACATCATAGAAAGTCCAGAGACAGTGCTCACTTCAGCAGCATGTATACTAAAATTGGAATGATGCGGGGAAGAGAGGCATGGTCCCCGCACAAGGATGCCATGCAAATTCACGAAGCATTCCATATTTCCGAGAAACGTATACAGTTGCCCTGAAACTAACATAACACTGTATGTTAACATACTAGAATGAAAGTAAAAAGTCCAGAAATAGACCCACACATATACAGGTAATTGATTTTCAACAAAAGTGCCAAGTTAATTCAACGGAGAAAGTACAGCCAGCTAATGGTGCTGGAACAACACAAGTATCTGGGGGAAATGACCTTCAACCCTTACCTCACATTATATACAAAAGTTTTACTCAAAACCATAGATCCGAACATCAAAACTATAAAACTTCCAAGAGAAAATAGAAAATCTGGTTCCTTGGATTAAGCAACAATTTCTTGGAACATAAAAACCATGGCTCAAAAATAATATACTGTACTTCATCAAAATGAAAACTTTAAGACTCAGTAAAAGGAAAACGCAAACTCCAGACGAGGCTAAAACATCCACAATATAGACCTAACAAAGGCTTTCCATCCAGAGTTTAGAAAGAACCCTTAAAACTCAATAAGGTGGGGGGTGCCTGGGTGGCTCAGTCATTGGGCCTCTGCCTTTGGCTCAGGTCATGATCCCAGGGTCCTGGGATCCAGCCCTGCATTGGGCTCCCTGCTCAGTGGGAAGCCTGCTTCTCCCTCTCCCACTCGCCCTGCTTGTGTTCCCTCTCTCGCTGTGTCTCTTTGTCAAATGAATAAAATCTTAAAAAATAAAACACCTCAATAAGGTAGGACTAAAACTACAAAATAAAAAAGGCAGGACTGGGGTGCCTGGGTGGCTCAGTGGGTTAAGCCTCTGCCTTCGGCTCAGGTCATGATACCGGGGTCCTGGGATCGAGCCCCATATCGGGCTGTCTGCTCAGCAGGTAGCCTGCTTCTCCTCTCTCTCTGCCTGCCTCTCTACCTACTTGTGATCTCTGTCTGTCAAATAAATAAGTAAAATCTTTTAAAAAAATTTTTTTTTAAAATAAAAGCCTCTGCCTTCAACTCAGGTCATGGTCTCAGGGTCCTGGAATCAAGCCCTGCATCGGACTCTTTGCTCAGCGGGGAATCTTCTTCCTCCTCTCTTTCCGCCTGCTACTCTGCCTACTTGTGATCTCTCTCTGTGTGTCAAATAAATAAATAAAATCTTTAAGAAAAACAAAAGGCAAAACTAAAACTAAAAAATAGGCAGAAGGTTTGAACACTTTTTAAAAGATTTTATTGGGCGGGGGGGCAACTGGGTGGTTCAGTCGGTTAAATGTCTTCCTTAGGCTCAGGTCTTGGTCTCAGGGTCCTGGGATTGAGTCCCACACAGGCTGCCACTCCATGAGGAGTCTGCTCCCTTTCCCTTTGCCCCTACCCACCCCCCTGCCCCAGCTCATGCTCTCTGTCTCAAATAAATAAATCTTTAAAAATTTTATTTTTATTTTTTAAAAGATTTTCTCTCTTTTGAGAAAGAGCACATGCATAGGCATGCCAGGTGAGGAGCAGAGGGGGAGGGAAAGACAAGCTGGCTCTGCGCTCAGCAGAGAGCCTGATGTGGGGCTTGATCCCAGGACCCCGAGATGGCCACCTGAGCCAAAACCAAGAGTCAGAAGCTTAACCAACTGAGCCACCCAGGCGCCCCTAAAGATTTTATTTTTTAAGTAATCTCTACACCCAAAGTGGGGCTTGAATTCACAACCCTTCAATCAAGAGTCATTGCTCTACCGACTGAGCCAGCCAGGCACCCCAAAAGATTTGAACAGACTCGTCACAAGAGGAGGTATACTAATGGCCAAAAAAGCACATGGAAAAACGTTCAACATCTCTGGTCTTCAGGGAAAAATGCAAATGAAAACTATAATAAGATTCCACCACTCCCCCACCCACCAGAATGGCTAAATTCAAAAAAAGTCACGATACCAAGTGTTGGCAAAGATGTGGGGATGGAAAGTGCACAGCTATTTGAGAAAACAGTTTGGCAGTTTGGGGGCAGCAATTTCATTCACCCAAGAGAAGTGAAAGCATGCGCACACGTGCACTTGAATACTCACAGCTGCTTTACTCATAATAGCTCGAAACTAGGAACAACCCAAATGCCACCATTGTGAACGGGTGAGCAAAATGTCGTGTGTTCATGCGACGGAACACTGCTCAGCAACGAGGAGGAATGAATGGCTGATACCTACAGCTAAGCGGACGAGTCTTAGAAACATGTCCAATGAAGAAGCCAAGCACAAAAGAATACATAAATACCATTCTATTAATATGAAAATCTAGAAAGGCACAACTAACCTGCGGTGACAGTGGACGAGTGGTTGCCGGGAGCCAAGACTGGGGAAGTAGGAATTAACTGGGTGCAAGAAGACTGTTAGAAGATCATTCTCAAGAAGTCACGACTCCCTTACAGATATAAAAATGAGCACGAGTTAAAGATTTTATTTAACTCTTGAATGAGGAAACGAGTAAGGATATGACAAGCAATCAAAGGAGATGCTGAAAAACAGCAATGATAGAGCAGGAATATTGAAATGAATGTGCAAATGAAGGCAAAACTGGTTTCTTCCTCGCGGGGAGAGGTCAGACATAATTTTCAATTCTATAGACAGGAATGATTTTACTTTGCTGTTCTTACCTACAACCTACAGAGCTGTAAAACAGCTCAAAGAATGAAAGACTGGAATAAGATTAATGCAGAAGGTTGTACGGTGTTTAGATTGTGCACTGTTTTCCACTGAGGATAACCAACAGCACCGGTGAGGAGGGAGTGAGAACGAGAATGGATCCAGCAGAACCAGTCCGGAGGCTTCGACAGCGGTCCAGGTAAAGGGGGGAAAAGGGTTTGGGGTACAGCTGTAGTGCCTGACTCAGAGATAGGCCCATCCAAACGAATGAACTTGAGCCTGACTTCCATCTGGTGGAAGGTGTGGAAATTTGATGAAAAGAAAATAGGTTGTGTGTGAAAAAGAAATCTTAAAAAACTAAAGAACCAGGTAGCCTCACCTTTCGTCTAGAAAGAGCCATATGGTGTAGAAGGTCCTCAAAGGCCAGTTTCTTTTGGCTAACGTTGGAGTGTTTACTGTGTACCAAGCATCTTACTAGGTTGAACCACATGAAATTGCCAATATTTGACCCCTTGGACCAAAAAAATGGCAACTTCATCCTAAAGAAAATCTTTAAAATAGATTATTTGCTCCTTACATCTGCGAGGTAAGTACTCCCCCACCCACCCACACACTTTTATAAGTGAGAAAAGCACCAAGAGGTCCAAGACCTTGCCCAATAGTAACTTCTTAGTAAATGGTAGAGGCAGGATTCAAACCCCTGTGGCCAACTCCAGACCGGGGTTGTAAACTCCGGATGCACTATTGAAAATGCCGCAGAGTCCTGTGCTGTGCTGTTGCAGACAGGAGTGGTTTCACAGCACTGTGCCCGGTCCCCTGTGAGTTTTACTTTGGCTAAACCCAGATCCCAAGTTTTACCCCTATGGCGGGTTTCCTGGCCCTCCTCCTCCTCCCCAGCACCCCCAGGATCTGTTATCCCCGCCTTGAAACCAGGCAGCCTTTGTGGCCATCTTCCTAGTGTCTTCTGACAGCTCCTCACTGACTTGTGCAAACCCCAACCCTCTAGTCCCGCCCCCCCACCTTGTGTCACTGTGCTTACATTCCCTCATAGACCATAGACCATAGACCATGCCACAAGAATTGTCATTGCCCCTAGGAGTTCCTGATCTTTATCATGGGCTGAGCTTTTATTTCATGACCAGCGTACTCTACAGGTGAGGAAACACGCACGAATGTCTCGCTAGAGGGAGTGGTGATCCCATTGTTTTATCCGGGATTAAACTAGGTGACATCCAGTAGCATGGCACCATCTTCTGACCACGACCTCAGACGTGTCTAGCTGCTGGCTGTCCTTCTGGGACTTATCCTCACATCTGAGTCTCAAGTCTCTCTGGGTTTTTGAAGCGCTCTGAGAACATCCTGAGGAAATGGGGCGCACGGCGGCAGGTGTTTGTCTGGGCGTCTCCTCCAGCAGAGGAGCTGGGGGAGCCTTGGGGGAAAGACTTCCTGGCCTTCCTCCCCGAGCAAACCGACCTCGAGGTGTAAATAAACACCTGCCCAAGAGCTGAGGGCGCCCGCGCGGGGCTTCGGCGCGTCCCCCCACCCCGGACCCAGGCGGTCCGAGTGTCCCTGTGCCGTCGGCGCGCCCGCCGGTGGGCGACCCGCAGGAGCGGCAGCGAGGGGCTGGAGCGAGCCGGCCGTCTGGCCCGCCGCGACGACCCCGGCCAGGAATTTGCCTGGGGCTAGGGCGGCGACAGCGGCGGGGACAGAGGGCAGGAGGCTGCCAGACCAAAGGGAGTCTCCCGCCCGGCCGAGACTGTCCGCGCGCGCCGAGGAGCAGCCCCTGTGGGAAGCGCCGAGGAGGTCCCGGGCGCTGACCCGAGAAAAGCGCGGCGCCCCCGCGCTCCCGCGATCCGCGCGCTCTCGCTTTACCAGCAGGAGGAGAGGCGGGGCGCGAAGGTACGCGCGGGAGACGCTCGCAAGGCGCGGAGAGGCGGCGCGGAGCAGCGCCGGGAAGGAGATGATGCCTGGGCTGCCCCGCCGCGCGGGGCTCCTCCTCGGCGGGGTGCTGCTGGTGGCGCTGCTGGCCGCGAGCCGGACGCTCCCCCAGAGGAGGCCGCGGTCCCGGAGCCCCTCGAGGCTGGCGGAGGTGAGCGGCGGGCCCGGGGCGCGAGCGGCGACCTCCGAGGGCGGGCGCGGGGCGGGGGCCAGGTGCGCGGGACCTGCGGGAGCCCCAGTCCCGGCCGGACGGAGGGCCAGCGGGGGAGAGACTCCACTGCTGGGTTGAGCGTGGGACCCGGACAGCCTGGTCTCTCCCGCCCGCGGCTGCGTCGCCGTGAGCGAACCTCTCCTGCAGCCTCCCATCCAGGGGAGCGCTCCGAGAGGAGCCGGAACGGTGGGAGAGGAACGCGGCGCCGAGTTACTGAGGTTCGACGGGCCAGTGCAGCCTCAAATCAGACCTGCAAAGGTTTGAATCCCTTCGGGTGTGAATTGAGATGAGAAGAGGCAGGGAGTGGGGTCTTTCAACTTGCAGGGGAGTAAGATCAGCCAGGGTCCTTGGTATTACTATGTGCTTGGAAGAGCAGAAGAGGTCGCTAAGACCTGACGGGCGGAGGGCACTTTCTGAGCAGCCTATGAGTGCGTTTTGGGGATGAGACTGAAAACAGAGGAGCGAGTTGGAAAAGGGTGGTTTAGACGTGGAGAGGAATACGGTCTCCCAAAACTTGCCTCCTTGCACCAGGGGCCAGCGGTCCAGCCATTCCTCCGTGGACTGCAGTGGGCACTCATCCGCATGGGGTCAAAACCCTCCAGATTTATTCCGGGGTATGCAGGCTGGTGTGGCAGGGGGTCTGGGCTCCTCCTATGTAGCTATTATTTGAGGAGGAGGAGGACAGAGTAGTTATTCCCATTTTCCCTATGAGGACACCGAGAGAGACCCAGCCGGGTGGGGGAGACTGGAGGGTGAGCGGTACCACAGCTTGGGGGCTAGTAGTGCCCAGGATGCTGAGGCCCTCCAGGGGCCATGGGAAGCAAGGGCCTGGCCTGTACTTGGGGTCTCTATGGACTGGTGTTTATCTGCCTTTTTTTCAATGCTGCCCTCCTAAGGAGACTTTTAGATATTTTTCCTCCAAAATGCCTTTTCCACTGAAATTTTAATACCGTAAATTTACTGTTTATGTACTATGGCACTTTGGTATGTTACAAACCATTGTAATATCCAAGACTTTTTGCCTCCAATTTCCAATTTTTGCCCCTTGTTGAGAGTACATTTTATAGACCAGAGCCCTTCAATGTCCACACTCCTGCCATTTTGGGTTGTATAATTCTTTGTTGTTCACTGTAGCATGTGTTAGCAGCATCCCTGGCCTTGACCCACTAGATGTCTACAGAACCCACTCCTGGATAGAGCCAGACATTGCCCAGTGTTTCCTGAGGGACACCCCTCCCCCGGCCACCTCTGTTGGCAACCACTGCTGTAGACAAATCCGGAGGAACTGAACAGCCTCTGGCCAGTGCCACCTCCTAGAGATGACAGTGGTCCTACAATTAATTGACTTGTTTTTTTTCCTACTCATTTGGCGTTTTCTATTTTAGTACTTACGGCTTTGTATTGTGATGATTTTTTTTTATATGTTTGCCATATCTTCCCCTAAGACTAGCCTAGAGGATGAGTTATTTCAGAGCCAAAGTCCTATCCCCAGCCCTAGAATAGGGCTTGTCAGAATCCTCAAAAGCATGTTAAAGAAAATTAGTGCCACAAAGGAAAAACAGAGCTTGGAGCCCAGGGCCTGGGGTTCTGGTCCCAGTGGGTCATTAACTCATGTATGACTCACCCATGATTTCCTATTTGAAATAGGGGACTGAGGCATCTCCGGGATCCCGTCTAGCTCAAACATTGCCTCAGAAGTCTGTAATGTGTGTTAAAGCTGTTCTATATCAAGGTGTTAGCTAAGAAATCCCACTGAGATGAGGCAGATTGGTGTTCTGGGGCCACAGGTGATTATGATAGGAATAACTGACAGCCCCAAAGACTTTGAAGAAGCAGCTGAAGAACATACCCCACCCCCACCCCAGATCTAAAGGTACAGGATGACGGGATGTGAGCCTTCTCTGGGCCTTGCAGAGTCCGTGCGAAGTGCTTTATGTGCTGTTATTTCATCGTCACACCATGCTGACATGGGTGTTATTCCCATTTTCCAGAGGGAAAAATCAAGGCACAGAGCCGGTAAGCCTCACGGAGCTTGGGAGCCAGGGCTGTCATTTCAAGAGCTATGCCAGGGACCCTTAGCCTGCTCATCTGAAGTCTTGAAGTCTCGAAATCGTCAGCATCAGGAACAAAACGTGCCACCCTCTCTCTGGGCAGGCCTGTTGCTGAGCCTCAGTTTATCCCCACAATCAAATGGGAGTAAGAGAGCCCGTTCCGGTGGCTAGCCTGCTAGGTGAGAAAGCATGGCTCACGTGTGTGGCGTCATCATTACAAGGATTTGTTGGGGGCTAGATGAGCAAGGAACAGCAGAGCTCTCTCCCTTGGGTGTCTTCTGCTCTAGCTCGGCTCACACCACCACCCAAACAGCCACTCCACTGGGCCTAGCCTCTTGCGTTCCTTGCCTTGTTTTCCTCATTTTAGGGTTAAGGAGACAGACAGAGGGTCTGATCACTAACCCATAGTTCTGCGGCTAGTAAGCGGGAAGCGGGGATTGAAACCCAGCTTGGCTTAACTCTGGGACCCCTGGACACCTTGCCCTGGCACCCACCACCTCCTGGGCAGCCAAGGGAAGACCCGGGGGTAGGGGAAACAGAGTTGAGGACTTGAGGTCACAGGTGGGTGATGGAGATGAGAACTAGGAGGAGAGGAGAGAGAGAGAGGACAGCTCCTCCAGGCTGCAAGGACTGCCCGCAGGAAGGGCGGAGCTGCAGGCAGTCCTGCTGTTGCAGCAGGGATGTGGTCCCCTCAGAAGAACGCACGCACGAGGGGACGACGGCCTGAGAGTGAAGAGCTCAGGCCCAGAGGAGGGAGCCCGTGGGCCTGGGGCACCGTCCCACATACGGCTGGGGAGCTCAGTCAGCACTTCCGTCCCGGGCGTCCTCCAGCCAGGTGCCTAGCATCAAGGACTGGATTGCAGGAGGGGCGTGATGGGTGGCAGGTCTTGCCTGTCGGGTCGGGACACCAAGAAGCAGATACTTTCCTGCAGGTTGGCTTTCCTTGGTTGGGGTGTGCCCCACTTCCTAGCCCGGTCGCTGAGGGAGTGTGACCCCAGCATATGTGTGATGCCAAGCCTGTGGCTTCGCCCTCAGCCTCCCCCAGCAGCTGGTTACCTCCTTGGACCTTGACTTTGACCACCGCTCTCCCTCCTGACCATTCTTCCTGCTCAGAGTTTGGAACTACTGGAAAACTGGTTGAGGGAGAAAGGGAAGAATAGAATGCACGTGTGTGTGTGTGTGTGTGTGTGTGTGTGTGTGTGAGAGAGAGAGAGAGAGAGAGAGAGAGAGAGAATGGGGGGAGGGGCATAGATCTTAACACCATTGCCCCAAAGCACGGACTCGGGTATTTGTGCCTGTGTGAAACTCCCCGTGCGAGGGTAGCAGATGGGGAGGCTGGTCCTGTGGGATAGGACAGGTGTTCTTAAATGTGCTGAGCCTCAGAATTCAGGGGAATGCCATGGGATGCACCCCCCAGAGTTTTTGCATAGGGGGTGGTGCTGGGGACTTCAGACCAGCTAAGATGTAAAGATCTGGCAGGGCCTGGCAAGAGGGGTCCTCTCTCTCTCGACACCATCTGTCACCACCTCTAGGTGAGGCTCACTGCACACTGGCCTTGTTTGAGGCAGCCCTCGTTCTAACTCAACAACCATGCCAGACAGAGACTGCTGTTTCCTTAATTTATGGAGGCAGTATTTAAGGCAGATGATGTTAACCCGCCCGAGGTCACACAGCTCGTAAGTGTACAAGTTGGGACTGGAACCCAGGCCGTGTGGCCTCCACCCTCCACCCGTCACTGCCCCGTTAGGCTGCCAGCGAGATGGTGAAAATGGGAGGGCTCCGTGAATACAGAGGTGGTTGTGCAAGGGGGTTGTCGTGAGAGCGTGTCCACACACGTGTGTGTGCACCCAGGCACGGGCGCGGAGATCAGACAGAGCTGAGTTTGAACCCGAGCTCCAGTGCTGTAACCTCGGCGACCTCACGTCAGTCCCTGGCCTTGTCTGAGCCTCCCCGTAAGCTCCTCAGTCACATGGAGAGTCACAGTCACCCCTCGGGGTTGCTCGTGTTCATGCAGCAAGGCAGTGATTTATCGAGCTCCTCCTGTGTCCCAGGCACTGCGCTAGGCACAGGCTACAGCAGGAACAAAGCAGTCAAAAAGTCTTGCCTGCCGTCTAGCTGGGGTGACAGAAGGCACATCAAGGGCCTAGCCCAGGCCCGGGAGGGAAGATGTGTTCAGACAGCACGTGCAGGGCGGGGCCCTGGGCTTTCTACCCCGATCTCTGCGGGCCTTTCCTCCAGTTGCCAGTGTCTGGCGGCCAGATGGCTGTCACTGCTGCTAGGGCCTGCTCTGAGCTGTCACGGCCAGCCTGAGGCGCCCGGGTAGCAAACCCTCTCCTCCCTCCATGATCCCTCAACCAGTGACTGGCGGGGCTGGTAGGTACACAGCCCAGCTCCCCACTCCTGGGGGAGTAGCTGAGGCACCCGATGGGACTGAGTTCCGCTTGTCACCGTTGTCACTAACCTGAGGGAGCATTTCTGTATTAGCTGCTTCCCGTGCCGGACTCACGCCCCGACTCCCTGCTCCTGTCTCCTGGGATCACCTTCCAAAGGAACGACTTGCCCTTGAATTCTTGTGTCAGGGTTGGCTTCTGAAGAAACCCGAACTAAGACGGGTGTCCCCGCTCGACTCCACTCCACTCCACTCCACTCCTGGGGTTCCCTGGGCCTGAAATACAGGGCAGGAGGCCCGAGAGCAGCTCGAGAAAGGTGGCATGTTTAGCCGGGGCTTTCTGTGGCCTTTGTTATCATCAGGTCCTCCTGGGCACCAGGGAGTGGAGAGGTTGAAGAGCCTGGAAATGCACATTCTGAGCACCTGCTGGAAACCAGTTCTTTCCCATCACTATTCCCCATTTTACAGATGAGGATGCTCATAGAGGTTACGTCCCTGTCATGGTCCCCAAGGTCAGAAGTCAGGCTATCTGGAGATTTAGACCTAAGCAGCCAGAATTTTTTTTTTTTTTAAGATTTTATTTATTTGACAGACAGAGATCACAAGTGGGCAGAGAGGCAGGCAGAGAGAGAGAGAGGAGGAAGCAGGCTCCCTGCAGAGCAGAGAGCCCGATGCGGGACTCGATCCCAGGACCCTGAGATCATGACCTGAGCTAAAGGCAGAGGCTTAACCACTGAGCCACCCAGGTGCCCCCCAGAATTTTTTTTTAAGATTTTATTTATTTATTTGACAGACAGAGATCACAAGTAGGCAGAGAGGCAGGCAGAGAGAGAGGAAGGGAAGCAGGCTCCCGGCTGAGCAGAGAGCCCGACACAGGGCTCAATCCTAGGACCCTGGGATCATGACCTGAGCTGAAGGCAGAGGCTTAACCCACTGAGCCACCCAGGTGCCCCTAAGCAGCCAGAATTTGAAGCAGAGTTTCCTTCTTTCTTTTTTTTTAATGTATGTATGTATGTATGTATTTAAGTGATCTCCACACCCAGTGTGGGGCTCGAACTCACAACACGAGATCATGAGTCACATGCTCTACTGACTGAGCCCGCCAGGCACCCCCGAGACCCGGCTTCTTAACTGCAGCATTGTTGACATTCTGGGCTGGATGATTTGTGTGAGGGCTACCCTATGTGTCGTATGACCTCTTGGCCTGAGGCACCCCTCTCCAATCCACACCAGCCAGAGAGGCCACAGACCCTGATGTCATGCTGTCCTGGGACTGCCTGTCTCTGGGCCCCAGAGGCTGCAGACAGGAGCCGCCAGACCACGTCACAGGGACAGCTGGTGCTTTGGTGGCCTCGTGGGTGGGAGCTGCCAGGAAGACGACGCACGGGGATGTGCCAGGCCTCCGAGATGGGTCAGCAAAGGGGCTGACTTGTTCTGCTACTCAGCTGTCCCTCCTCTGCTCATCTGGCCTGGCTGTCTAGACCCGAGCCCCTTGACTCGGTGGCCGACACCAGGACCAGACTCGGGTGGGCCCATAGTGGTTAATGCGGGAGACTTGGAACCAGGAGTCTGCAGATCCCTGCAGGGAGGGGCTAAAGGGGAGGGACCGAAGGTTTTGATTCTCTTTTCCAACCCAAGAAAGTCACAGTGAGAAACTAGACTGTTTAGTTTGCCTCTGATTTGGGCAGTAGACCCTCCACTCTCTTGCCTGTAGTGTCGGAGCACAACGGTTAGGACTATGGGCTCTGGGGCACCTGGCTGGCTCAGCTGGTAGAACGTGTGACTCTTGACCTTGGGGTTGTGGGTTTAAGCCCCACTTTGGGTATAGATATTACTGAAAAATAAAACCTTTAAAAAAGAAGAAGAAGAGGAGTGTAGGCTCTGGGCCCAGGCTGTCTGGTTCAAATCCTGGCTCTACCACTAAATGTCTTGGTGTGACCTTGGGCAAGTTACTTGTCCTCTCTGTGCTTTAGTTTCCATTGTTGAAATGAAGATGACAGCTGGTACCTACCGCTGAGGGTTGTTGGGAGTTGCAATCAGTGATTAAGTAAGTGTTCAGAAAAGTGCCTGGCACACAGGTGTTGTGGAAATATTTGATAAATAAATTCTGACAATCCTTCCAGGTAGGAATTATGCTCATTTTGCTGCTCAAGCTGAATGAGCTAGTAAGAGGCAGAGCTGGGATTTGAACCCAGGCTGATCTGACTGTACAGACCTGTGTTTTCTCACACTGTTTCAGGTATGAAGTGGAGATGGGGTCAAGCCTGTAGACTGAGTGGGGGCAAGATCCCCAGGCACCTAGCCCCTGAGACTTATAAAGGCAGCTCTGGACAGTGCCCTTTCCATCCTGTTGTGGAGACCTGAGTAATGGCTGCAGCCTGAAAGTAGGTGGACGGCCACCCCAGTGTCCCACTGTCTGAGCAGGTGAGGGCTGCAGCTAGAGCCGGAGACAACCGGGGTCTTTCACTTACTATCTCAGCGGAAGCAGGGACAGCCCCGGTGTGGACCCCGCAAGGGCACTGGCTGGTAGAGGGAATTAACTGGCGGACAGGCAGCTGTACCAGCACCTGGAACAGGAAAGGTGCCAGGCCCCAGGTGGGCAGGAGGAGGAAGGTAGCAGTGGTCAGGGATGCTAAGGAATACAGCCCCCTCCTGGATGGCCTGGGGGCCAGCGGCCCAGGTCGGCCCTCACTTCCTGTGGGCCTTTTTGGGCCTTCCCGCCCCAACTTGGGAGGCCCGCTGCCTGTTCCCGGGCAAGAGCCCTGGGGACTCTGAGGCATGTGGTCTGCTAACTGCACTTGGAAATACACGCTTCCCTCTCTGGACCTCAGTTTTCTTCATCTGTAAAACGAGGGGCTTGGCTTGTGTCTCTTCCGTGTGTAGAACTCTGATTTAGCCCCCCTGTCATGCCTCATGTTAGCATCGTCTGTCCAAGCAGTCTGTGGACAGGACCTCACTCACTCTCTGAGGCAGTAAAGCAGGTGCGTTCAGATACGTAGTCACACGGGGAGTGTGTGGCCTGGACAGACCCCAGGGCTCCCGAATCCTCCCTTCAGGTCTACTTGGGGCCAGCCCTGACCCCAGTCACCTCTCCCTCCCCCGCTCTCTCTCTTTCAAGTATTAGCCTCCCCACTTCCCAGCTCTCCTGGGGAAGAAGAGAGGAGCCCACTGCTCCCCAGAACCCGCCTCCAGGCAGGGCCATGCCATCACAGTGAGCCAGCAGCCCTGAGCCTGGACAGGACGGCCCCTCCCAGGACCCTGGAGGTCGCTCCCTTGCTGTTTGAGCTGCAGAAGCTGCCAGGATTGGCCAACACAGACTTGAGTGCCCCAAACCCCAATATCCAGGTGAGAGCTCCAGAAGGGCCGTGGACCCATGGACATCTGGGGAGGAGCTGGGCGGATCCAAGTTCCCATCCTGTATTCCCTGCAGGGAGGGGGTCCTGTTCGGGGTCACCGAAGATGGAGTAGTGGGAGTACTGGTCATCCTCTTCCCGGCCACAGACTGAGCAGGGCACGTGGCCTGCTGAGCCCATGTTTTCTAGTCCATGGTGAGGGACAGACGGCCCTGGCAGGGCTGTCATGAGGACCCAACGAGTGGAGAAGCTTCGTGAGCTGCAGGGGCTTCTAGGAATCTGGGGGAGGAGTGACTTGTGGCCCTCACCCAGGCCCATCCTTCCTGCAGGGTTGGTTGTATGCAGAATGGGGTGGGCTGGTCGTGGGGGGCTGTCCCCCCAGAGGGGCTTTATGGGGCCAATGGGATTCTAGTTTACATTCCCCACTGCCAGTCCTCAATCCCTGATGGTAGTAGTTCTTTTTTTTTATGATTTTATTTATTTATTTGACAGAGAGATCACAAATAGGCAGAGAGGCAGGCAGAGAGAGGGGGGGGGAAGCAGGCTTGCCGCTGAGCAGAGAGCCCGATGCAGGGCTCAATCCTAGGACCCTGAGATCATGACCTGAGCCAAAGGCAGAGGCTTTAACCCACTAAACCACCCAGGCGCCCCCCCTGACGGTAGTAGTTCTGCATTTTGTGCAGCATCTACAGTTTGCAAAACACTTTCATCAAAAGAGAGGGCACCTGGGTGGCTCAGTTGGTTAAGCGACTGCCTTCAGCCCAGGTCACAATCCTGGAGTCCCAGGATCAAGCCCTGCATTGGGCTCCCAGCTCCATGGGGAGTCTGCTCTTCCCTCTGACATTCTCCCCTCTCATGCTATCTCTCACTCTCTCTCAAATAAATAAATAAAACCTTTATATTAAAAAAAAAAGTCCACAAAAAAGCATAGAATCTAATGTTTTTTAAAAAATATTTAATTAATTAATTTATTTTAGAGACAGAGCACACACCAAGAAGGGGAGGGGGAAGCAGAAGGAGAGGGAGAAGCAGGCTCCCCGCTCAGCAGGGAGGCCCACAGCCTGCCTCCCCCTCCCCCGCCCCAGCCTATGCAGGGCTCAGTCCCAGGATCCTGGGATCATGACCTGAACCGAAGGCAGACAACCTACTGAGCCACCAAGGTGCCCCTCATATTATTCTATAATAGCCAAAAATAATGCTTTCAAAGTTCCCTTTCACATAAATGATTTCACGTTCCTTATTTCCTGTCCACCAGGGAACAGGAACAGTGAGGGAACCCCCTTTGCTCCCCTTTTGTCCCCCTCCCCAAACCTCCCCACCCATAGACACTATGGGAGTTTGCTATCTTTGCGATTATTTTCCAGTCCCACAGTGAGCCCCTAGGGTGTTAGTGGCCCCTATGGCTGGGCTGGGCGCCCACAGGCCACTGGAGCCATAATTCCCACCCAGTGCATCTTTTTTTTTTTTTTTTTAAGATTTTATTTATTTATTTGATAGAGATCACTAGTAGTCAGAGGGGCAGGCAGAGAGAGGAGGAAGCAGGATCCCCGATGAGCAGAGAGCCCGATGCAGGGCTCGATCCCAGGACCCTGAGACCATGACCTGAACCGAAGGCAGAGGCTTTAAACCACCCAGGCGCCCCACCAGCCAGCGCATCTTAAAGAGTGGGTCTCTATCCTGGCACAATGTTAAAGCTGCCGTGCCTGGCCCCATGTCAGGTAGTTAAACACAGGTCTAGGGTTGGGTCGGGGGTCTTGATACCCAGGGGATTCCGATGCACAGCTGAGTCTTAAATTGTGACCCCATGTGCCCTGGGAGGCCAGGAAGTTTGGTGAAGAAAACGAGCTGGTTTGGAGGGAAGGGAGGACCTCTGCCCCAATCGTCATCCGTCCTATCCTTGGTGTCTTGCTCTGAGCTCTCCTTTACCCGCCTGCCTGTGTCTGTCCCTCTGCAGGTGACCATTGAGGTGGTGGAGGAGCCCCAGGCCCAGGTGGAGATGGACCTCCTGGCTGAGCCCGGCCGCCGCTGGCCCCAGGGGGTCTCGAGCTGGCTCCCTGTCAAGGAGCTCTTCTGGCCCCTGTTCTGGGGCATCCTGGAGGGCAAGGAGGGGAGGACCGATCTCAAGGGCAGAGCCCCAGGGGAAGAAGACAAAGAGGAGGAGGAGGAGAAGGAGGAAGAGGAGGAGGAGGATTACCCTGAAGAGTTCGGCGAGAGTGAGGACCAGGAGGCCAGTGATGACGAAGAGTATGACGAGGAGGAGCCTGGGTTCAGTGGGGCCGTAGGCAGCCAGGAGCAGGGCTGGCTGGCCCCTGGGGACTGGGCCTTCAAGGAGCCGGACGGCTATGGTGAGCACCCCATCTTGGCATTCCCAGCTGTGGCTTCTGGAGGTCCTGAGTGGAAACAGGGCTAAAGAGGGTCCGTCTGGAGGTCCTGAGTGGAAACGGGGCTAGAGAGAGGCCTGAGAGCTCCCCGAGCAGGGGCTGCAGCGGAGACCAGGAGCTAGGCCTGTACAAACACCATCATCCCCTAAGTAGCAACATTACCTGTAGCTGGCAAAATTTGGGTTTTCTTTTTTTTCCCCAAACATTTGACCTCCACAACAGCCCTGAGACCCCCCCCTCAGCAAAGCGGACATTTGTAATTTTATATATATATTCATATCTGTCAGTTGCCAACGAATTGGGAAACATTATAATAAACCCCACCACTCACAACTGACTTCATTTTCAGACTGTGCGGTTTGCATCCTGGCTCTGCCGCTTTCCAGCTGAGTGACCTTGGGCAAGTTACTTAACCTCTCTGTGCCTCTTTTCCTTCCTCTCTAAAATGGAGAATGACACAACCCTCACTACATAAGACTGGGTGTAGAGGGTATTAAGTGAGTTAATACACTTAAAGTGCCTGCATGTAGTAAACTAAATATTGGCTGTTTTTATCAGAAAACCACCTAACAGCCCAGACCATCCAGAAAATGCCCCCTCAGCCCCGGCCAGACCTCCATGATGGCCGTTTTTATGTTTTATGCTGCAGTCCAGGCTTCCCTGGGCACAGACCTGTTTCATGCACCATCGTAGCCATTCTCCCCAGAGCCCTGGCATTTGGTCCTTGGAGGGAGGTGCCGTGCTGAGAACTAAGACCAAAATAATGTAAACTGGCAGAAACTTTAGGCTTTCCAGCTCATCTTCCATGAATTGTCCTTCAGCTCCTGGTGCCCGCCTGCTCAGACCTGCCTGGGAAGTGAGGAGAAAGCGGGCTTTGTCAGGACTTTGTCAGGACTATGTCAGGACTCTGGGGGTTCCACAGAGACCCCCCCCCCCCACCACCGGGTCCCAGCCCTGCACAGCCTGTCTTGGTGGACATCAGGTTCCTCAGACCAGTGCTGGGTCCCCAGCGTGGGAAGTCAGGATCTTCCTTAATATCCCAGTGCCAGGGGGCGCCTGGGTGGCTCAGTGGGTTAAAGCCTCTGCCTTCGGCTCAGGTCATGATCCCAGGGTCCTGGGATCAAGCCCCGCATCAGGCTCTCTGCTCAGCAGGGAGCCTGCTTCCCACTCTCTCTATGCCTACTTGTGACCCCTCTCTCTCTCTGTCAAATAAATAAAAAATAGCTTTAAAAAATTAAAAAAAAAAATCCCAGTGCCAGGGTGATCTTGTCAGCTGTGGTTCTGACTGACGTGGTTTGCACAGAGGTCTGCTCTACGGGGGTGCCCAGCTGAGGGACAGGCGGGAGCTGGAATCCAGCCCATGCTTCGTCCCCTAGGCCGGGAGCCCTGGCAAGGGTGGCATGCTCCCAAGGAAGGGGTGTGTTTTGGTGACAGGCCCTGGTGCTCCCCTTGTGCTCGTACACCCCTGGCTCCCTGCCTTGACTCGGACTCTGAGCGTTCAGAGTAGTGGAGGCCCTGATCTCCCAGCCAGAGGAGGACTTGGCCCTGCGGCCGCGCCTGCACCACCACCAGGGTCCCGAGCCTACTGCCTGCCCCCTTGTCGAGGTGAAACGAGCCCCAGGGCCGGGGCCGGCAGAGGCAGCTGCTTACATGCTGGTGGTCCCCTGGGCACAGACACCTTGTCTGAGGATGGGGCCTGGAGAAGGGAGGCAGGGGGCTCACAGACGCAGTGGTCTGGCCTCGGCCCAGGCCTAGCCCGGATGCTGTGGGCACTGAGAGCCTAGTGAGGGCTGGGCCTCCCCCACGGGGAGCACGGAGGTTCCCCAGGGTCCCACCAGCCTGGCTGCCTCTCCTCCCAAAGGCACCGAGGACAAAGAGCCCTTGAGCTTCCCCAGTGAGGGGTGGCAGCGCCCGGCCCACAATGCCCCGGACATGCTCAGCCCAGGTCAGTGGGGAGCTAGGCCCTGCTCCCAGGGGTTTGGGGAGAACCTTTCCGGGAGTGTCGAGCATCACTGCAGACAGGAATCTCACCTCCATCTATGGAGGCAGGGTACACGTTCCAGCTGGAAGATGACCCTCTTCGGCAAAGGGACCCCGGCCTTTCTCAGTTCCCCTAGCCAGGCCATTGACATTCCCCAGCCTGACATTCCTGCTGGGAAGAAGGTCCTGATGGGAGCCACAGAACTTGGAGGTTGCCCTGGGGGGGCATTTTCTGCCTGGCTGTGGGATGGGATGGGATATTCTGGCTTCCACTCTCGGTCACTCTGGGGGCTCCCAGGCAGGCTCTGTGTGGGAAGGGGTGCTGTCAGAAACAGGGCAGGGACCAGAACTCTGGAACTGCTCCTTCCAGCAGCGTAGGGGAGCAGGCTGTTTTTACTAGAACATTCTGCATCTGCATCTCTTGGGGTCCCTTGCACCCCCTAAGGAGGGTGGCAGCTGCCGACAGGCCGCTTGCAGGTGGGGCCCATGCTCACTACTGTGAGGCTCCCTGAGCCGGTGGGGTGCGCCTGGCGCTGTGCGGGGCCGGGGATCTGCCCTCACGGAGCTCGGGTCTTAGGAGGAGAGAGACACACGGCCAGCTTGAGCACTATGTGGCAGGGCGTGTCTCCACATTCTGGAGCAAAGAGGAAGGAGCCATGTTTTCTGTGTGGCCAGAGTCAGAGGCCACATTCTCAAGAGAAAGAGAAGAGAGGAGGCAACCTAGACAGAGGGGGCCACAGGGGGCCCAGAGAGGCAGGGTAAGCCTGATAGCTGGTGGAGGTAAGAACGAGAATGGACCAATGGTGAAGACAGGGGAACACTTTCTTACCAAGTGCTTAAAACAGCGGTGCCTGCCCCCAGCACCTCCCAGTCCCTTCCCCAAGACCCCAGATCCTTCCCACCACCCAGCACGTAGAGGGACAGCCCCTTGGCCAACATCGTTTTGAGCTGTGGCTTCTGGCTTCAGGTTTCCTGGGGAGGGGGCTGTGCGGTAGCCCTTCTCTGTCCACAGGGGAGGTCAGGGTCGGGGAGTGCCCACGGGGGAGGGGGGTGCCCACGGGGGAAGCGGGGACGGTGGTGCCCTACGGCACCCAGGTCTGGTGTGCGGCCTTCCCTCTCCGGGCGGGCGTAGGTCCTTGATCAACTCCCTCCGCACCGGTGACCGGCTCCCCTCCCCCCTGCAGAGGTGGACAGCTGCGAGAGGTGGCTGAACTGCAAGAGTGACTTCCTGGCCCAGTACATGCATCAGGTGCTGCAGGACCTGCCCAGCTGCCCCTGCAGGTACCCGCTGGAGGCCGCGTCGAGCGCCGTGAGCCTGCAGGACGAGCGCCGCGGCCGCAGCTTCCGCTGGAAGGACGCGAGCGGCCCGCGGGAGCGCCTGGACGTGTACCAGCCCACCGCGCGCTTCTGCCTGCGCTCGGTGCTGTCGGGCGAGAGCAGCACCCTGGCCGCGCAGCACTGCTGCTACGACGCGGACAACCGGCTGCTGACCCGGGGCAAGGGTGCCGGCGCCCCCGACCTCATCAGCACCGACTTCTCGCCCGAGCTGCACTTCAAGCTCGACACCCTGCCCTGGATCCTCTGCAAGGGCGACTGGAGCCGCTACCACACCGTGCGGCCCCCCAACAACGGCCGGGCCTGCGCGGACAACCCGCCCGAGGAAGAGTACTTGGCCCAGTTGCAGGAGGCCAAGGAGTACTGACGGGGGGAGGGGGGGCTGTGCCCGAGAACCCGCCCCTGCAGACCCCGGCCCTCTGCCCGCACCCCTGGGTAGGTGCCCGAGAACCCCAGGCAGGTCGGCACCCCGGCGGGGGGGGGGGGGGGGGGGGGGGGGGGGGGCACAAGGCTGAGGGGTGTACAGGGGCCAGGGCAAGGGATGGAGCTCACTCCCGGAGGTCGAAGGGTGTACCTGAGGAAGCAGGAGTCTGGGGGTGGGGGGCATTGCCCTCCCCTGCCTTCTGGGAGGCTGTATCCCAGCCTGGCCATGCACTCTGTCCCCTCTCCCCCTGCGCTGGGCTCTGTGCACAGGTAAGGGCCGGGCTCCCCAGCACACAATGATTGCCCGTCTGGGTGGCAGAAAGTCCAGGTCCTGAGGTGCTACTCAGGCTGGCAGCCAACCTCGTGAGTGGCCCCCTCCTTACCTCTGGGTGGTTGCACGAGGCCCTCTTGCCCCAGCTCTGCTGGGAGCCACCACAGACCAGGAGCGTGTCCCTTGCAGGATAATCTAGGCTCCAAGCTTCCCTTTGGGGGACACCTTCGGTGTAGGGCTGAAGTCAATCTGCAGGGCCCAGTGTGGACAGACAGGTTGAGGCGGCCAAGTTAAGGGATGGCTCCAGGCGGGGAACAGGTCAACCTATTCAGGGCCCTCTCTTTGTCCAGCACGTCTGTCCTGTCCAGGTTGTAGGTAGGCACGTGCAGGCCTGGGAGATGGTGCAGCTTGGGCTAGGCTCAGGACAGGTTCAAGAGGATGTGCCCCACGGTGAACTGGGAAACCAGTTCTCTGGACTGGGTTGGCGGCAGGGAAGCCCAGGTCTGGGCCAATTCTGTGGTGGAAACGGCCCCACCACGGCCCACTTCATGCTCCGAGCTGATGTTATCGAGGCACCGAGCTCAGCGCTGGGAAGAGAGGCACCTGACTGGCAATCCTAGCTCTCCTTGTGCTTCTCCTGCCCCCTCACCTCCGCCCCTGAACCGTACTTCTGGTCTGTGGAGTTGAAGTGATGAAGTCCCAACTGTCCTGTTCACAGAAGCTCCAAAAGGTGGGGACCTCGGTCCCCAGACAGCTGCCCTGAAGCTCTTCGTGATCCTCCGCAATAAAGCACTTTATTTTCAAATTCTGTCTGATGAGGAATTGGGAGCCTCCGCAGAGGTGTAGGGAGCCCTGTTTGCAGCCCAAGCCAAGCCCGCCACGGTGGGGTTTGCGACTGCTTGACCCAGTTGGGTGGGCAGAGCTCCTGGAGTGCAGAGGTTGGATGTAGGTGTGAATCATCCCACACTTCTACAGTGTTGCCTGGCAGGTGGGAGTAGCTGGCCGGACCTCAGGAGCACATTTGCTAGTTCCTGGGGACAGGAGGACTTGTGAGTCAGAGATAAATGGCATGCACTCCAGAGGAAGTGGTTTGCTGCCCAGAGTTGCCCAAAGGATTACAGTTGTAAGATGACGGAAGTGGACCTGCACTCTGCTTTGGTTGCTACCCGTAACAGACACTGCACTGTCACTCCTGGCACTTGGGAAAGAACAGAGACACATCAGGAAGGAGAATGAGACAAGGTGTGCCCAGCCATCACCTGGAGATGCTCAGAGAACCAGGTGTTTCCATAACCACCACACCTAGAGGTAAGTTTATTAGTCTGGTCCTGGACTACAGTCTAAAAGCACTGGGTGAGACTAAAATATTACAGGGGCAGCGAGGGCCGGATCTCAGGTCACCAGAGGGGATGCAAGTTCGTTCCCTTTCTCTTGGCTGGGGTAATCAACGTGATTATTAGCACAGGAAAGTTTTGATTATCTTTTAGCAGAAACTTATTTACTTATTTGAGAGAGAGAGAGTGAGAGAGAGATCAGGGGGAGGAGCAGAGAGAGAGGGAGAGAGAATCCTGAGCAAGACTCCATGCTGAGCAGGGAGCCCGACAGGGGGCTCAATCCCAGGACCCTGAGATCATGACCAGAGCTGAAATCAAGAACCGCCACTCAAACAACTGAACCACCCAGATGCTCTGGCAGAAATTTTTTTTTTTTAAAGATTTTACTTATTTATTTGACAGACAGAGATCACAAGTAGGCAGAGAGGCAGGCAGAGAGAGAGGAAGGGAAGCAAGCGCCCTGCTGAGCAGAGAGCCTGATGCGGGGCTCGATCCCAGGACCCCGGGATCATGACCTGAGCCGAAGGCAGAGGCTTTTAACCCACTGAACCACCCAGGCGCCCCAGCAGAAATTCTTTATTAAGTAAGAAGATAAGGACATCCCAGAGTCTGTTTCCATAGGAATCTGCTAATTCCCCTCCTTTCTGATATAACTTACCTTGACACTTAAACACATTGTGTAAATTTAATCTGTACCTAATGCTTGTCTGTTACCCAAACTGAATTTAGCCGGCCACGTTTTTGATCTGTAATCCAAGTGACAGGTGGAATTGCTATCATGTCAGGCCACAGCTGACAGAAGATAAAGGGGGTTGGAAAGGAGCCTTGAAGGGGCTGGAGAGCCAGTCAGCTATAAAATGATGTTTCTTCAAACTACAAGGGAGAAGGAGGTGCTGTGCAGGGGGCTGAGGGCCCAGGACACAGGTGTATGGAGAAACTGTGACGGGGAGGTCGCTGACCTTGCCGAAGGGAGGATTTGGTGTGACTGGTACCTGGCCCAGGAGGGTCCACCTGACCCCCCGCCCTGTTCGGGTCCAGTGTTGGTGGGGTCACTGTCTTGACTCGCTGTTTTTCCTGTCCCAAACACCAGGAGCCCTCTGTGGCCATGCAGCCAGCGCGAACACTGCCACGGCCCAGTCCCCAGGATGGTTTTGCCCAGTTTCCCTCTGGTGTATCTCCTAAAGGGCCCTAGGTTAGGCAAGACCAGTCAGATTGAATTCTTACCAGGGTTTAAAACAACTGGTGCTATGAACTCCTCCTGATCCTGCTGACTTCCCTTGTCTGTTGGAAGACAGAACGGTTCAGGAGCCTTTGTCCTGTTAGTCACGAAAAGGTCACAAAATGTGCTTCTGTGGGCTCCTCCATTACAGTTAGATTTTCTTAACAGGTTGGGATGCTTCTCGAATTGCATCCTGACCCCAGTATCACCTGCAGTATTTATTAAACTCTTAGGTTCATGGGTTACACCCCACACTGAGTCAGAATCAATTAGGGGTGGAGTCCATAAAATTTGCTGACTTTAACAGGTTCCCCGGGGGGGATTCTGAGTGAGGTGAGTCCTTGGCCTATGATTCACAATATGGCCAGTTAACTAGCTTTTCAAAATAATTCTAGCCCCAGGGAAGACGCCTGGGCTCTGGAGTCCGGCCGTTGGTAGGGGACATTTGCCAGATGCTGGCAAGTGCCAGTGTTTCTGTATGTGTTCTCTCTAATGCTCTGATAAGGCGCCTACTGTACCCATTATCCTGGTGAGAAAATGTGCCCCATTTGTAGGAAGGGGCACAACTTAACACAAGTGCAGTCAAGTCCACAGTTGTGTTTTTTTTAGCTCTGATATTCTGCTTTTTAGTCTCAAAAATGCTATCAGTAAAATGGCAGTGGTAAAAACTCTAACAGCCGTTGTCAGCACTGGGGATGTGAACTGTCACTGAGCATGTCATGGGACGGGTGATCTGCCCGATGTTCTGGGTTTTATTAAGGACTTTGTGATCTCTGCTTCAGATTTTTTCAAGAAATCTAGACTTGGTTAACTCCCCAGCCAGGTATGAAAGGGTTCCTGTTTTGTCACTGTTCTGTGTGGGGAGCAGGAGTCTGTTAGGAGGGGCCCCTAGGTTTGATTCAAGCTACCGTCCAGGCTTTTTACCAAAAGGCATCTTTTTGGCCCCCAGGAGGCAGATCTAATGCCAAGCTAGATGCTAATTAGTTCAGTCCACCATTGTTTGGGTAATTCAAGCCCAGAGTGGCTTTCAGGGGTCTAAATGATCCCCATGGGTACTGGTTTTCTGCTTTGACTACAATGCTGTGGCCACGTCATGGTGTTAGGATTAGCCCGCAGGCCTTGCTGCCACCTAATAAAAGAGACAAAAATAGTTGAAGGAAATAGCTGTGCCTGCAGGGGGCTGAGTGTCTGGGTTAGCAGGCGCGGACTCCCGAGGGATGCCGGACGCCAGGGCCTGGCTGGTCCAGGACAGTGACCCTCCCATCTGGGGGTGGGGGAGGTTGCTTCTCTTGCCACGTGGCAGCTGGAACCCCATTTGAACACATCCCCGCCACTTGGTCAGTGCTCTGTAAACCTGCGTAGTGGAACCAGGGATTAGCAAGAACATTTGTGTCTTCTTTCTGGGGGAAGTAACAGGCCTTCCAGGAGGGATGCCTGACACACCAGCAGCTGTCTGGGGGGTGGGGGATGGTGAACCCAGTGGCAAGGCAGCAGCCAGTGGTATAGACTCGAGCACCGGCTCTGCAGGTCTTTGATCTCAGTCTCAGCTCTACTAAATGGCCACTGCCAGGTCTTGGGTATTACTGAAGAAACGCAAGATCTGGATTCTTAGGCAACAGAAAATGCTGGTAGTATCTCTTCCCCAAGGCTATGATGGAGGTTAAGCGAGCTGTGCACGGGGGTTACACAGCGTCTGGTACCTAGTGACTGATCGGGAAGCAGGAGCCGTGAACCTGAGGCCCACTCCGCTCAGCCACAGCGTGGATAGCTTTCCCCATCTCACAGCAGCACCCAGTGCTCATCTGTTCCTGCAAGAGGATTTCAGAGGCCACACGGAGAGGGGAGCCCAGGATGCCACCTCCACCAGCAATAAGGTTTGTGGGCACTGTCCACCCCAGAGCACCGCCCCCGGCCCTGTCCTCCGACCGTGAGGGGAGCAGCAGCTTTGTACCAGTCCGCAGAGAGGAGCGCAGGAAGCGGCAGCCTTCCTTTATGCCTCTACCCTCAGCCAGAATGTAAACAAAACCTGTTTTTCCTCCTTTAACTCAGTGTCTTCAAGGGGACTCGCGAGTACCAGCCACCCCATCGACAGAAGATGCCAGATGTGCACGTTTTTTAAA